ACCACAGCAACGGCGCCAGCTCGCCCAGCGAAGCCTACGCCAACCTGACACTCGACAGCCGCGAGGCCTCCATCACCGACCTCGACCGCACCCGCGCTGCCAAACAACTGCCCTCCGCCTCGCGGCCCCCACCTCGCGCCTCCTCGCCCGCTAAGCGCTCTCATTCAGACATGGACGACAAGCCCGACCCCAGCTCTGCTCCCCGCAACACCAAGCCGCTGTCCACAGGCCCATCACAGTCACAGCCACAGGCACAACGCAGTGCGCGTGCCACATCGGTAGACATGGCCGACACGCCCAACAGCGGCACCTTTGATGCCGATGACCAGGTCCCGGCCTCATCATCCACCATCGCCGCCGACGCCTCGCCCCAGGCCCAGCTGCCCAGCATAGACGAGCAGGTGACTCGCGTCATGGGCATGATGAACAGTGAGCCTCTGGTCGACCGCCAGGAGGGCTATATTATTTCCGAGCGGTGGCTAGAGCGTGTCTGGGCAAGAACGTCGGAGAATGTGAGCAGGCCTCAGGACTTTAGCAAGGAAGCAACCCAGGGCCCCGTGGGTCCTGTCGACAACTCGCACCTGGTCGACACGGAACTTCTGCAAGAGGACCTGGCCGACCAGCGTGGTGAAGACTTCATTCCGCTGAGCAAAGCCGCGACACTTGGCCAGGACTTTGAGGTTCTCCCACGTAAGGCGTGGGAGCTGGTTCTCAGCTGGTACGGACTCAACAAAGGCAGTCCGGTCATACGGCGGTACGCCCATAATACCGTTCCCGGCCAAGCGAGCGAGGATATTTCATACGAGCTCCACCCTCCTGTTATTACTATTCGCAAAGTGCGAAAGTCAGCGAATCCTGCTGATAACTCCAAGTTGGCGGAGAAAATCGTCGCTAGCCGCTACGAGAGCTTCGTCACCTTTCTTGAAGCTGCCAAAAAGGCCGTGGGTATCGACTTGAACAACAAGGTTCGCATATGGAGGATTCTCTCTACTGCACCTACAGACAAGCCTCAACCATCACAACCTTCCGGCATACTCACTCCAGACGCATCACCACGCAACGGTTCGCCTGTCGCTCCCACTGGTGTTCAACGGCCTTCTCTTGTCATGGACGTCGCAAGTTTTAATGCGCTTGCGTATGGGTCAGAGCGTGAGCTTGTCACGGGCAAGGATGAGAAGGCCAACGAGATTTACAATGAGTCTCTCACTCTGGCCGATGCTGGTCTTACACAAGACCAGACAATCGTTCTCGAGGAACACGATGAGAAGGGAGAGTACATTTCCGACACGACCAAAGAGGTGTCCAAAAACAAGGCTGGCGCTGTAGCTAGCAAGGGTCTTCAAAGTACCACCACCAGCGGGAGGAACACACCCACGGGTGGCCCCCTAACCCGCGGAAGGAAGCAGAATGGCAAAGTGCGTGGTCATGTTGGCTTGACAAACCTCGGCAACACGTGTTACATGAACTCAGCCCTTCAGTGTCTCCGGAGCGTTGAGGAGCTGAGCATGTACTTTTTGAGTAACAAATGGAAAGAAGAGGTCAACGCCGACAATCCCATCGGTCACAAGGGCGTCATCGCAAAGTCGTACGCTTCACTGCTGAGTGCCATCTATAGTCTCGACAACAACTCTTCCATCTCACCCAAGGACTTTAAGCAGAAGCTAGGAAGAGCCAACAGCCTGTTCTCTGGTTACGGTCAGCAAGATTCTCAAGAGTTCGTCAGCTGGTTGGTGGATGCACTGCACGAGGATCTCAACAGGATACACAAGAAGCCATACCGGGAAAACCCAGATTCAGAAGATGACACTTATCGTGACCCAGAGGCTGTCAAGAAGCTCGGAGAGATTTATCGAGATAATCATCGTGCTCGAAACAATTCTGTAGCGATGGATCTGTTTAGCGGATTTTACAAGAATACCATGGTCTGTCCAGACTGTGAGAAAGTCAGCATAACATTTGACCCCTACAGCCAACTCACCCTACAATTGCCCATAGAGCAGACTTGGACTCACACAATCACATACGTGCCGCTTTATGGAAAACCCTATCAGCTTGAGGTTGACATTGACAAAAACGCAACCATCAAAACACTTAAAGAGTTTGTCGGCAAGCGTGGCAGCGGCGTCCCAGCTAACCGCATAATGGCGTCTGAGCTTTACAGCCACAAGTTCTACCGTCACCTGGAGGATTCACTCACTGTGTCTGAGTCCAACATAGGAGCCAGGGATGACATTTATTTCTATGAACTTGACATGGCACCAAGCAATTGGCCTGCTCCCAAAAAGAAGGGGTCAAAGTACAAGACGATGCTTTCCCAATCTTCCGACGAAGATATCCCAGACACTGCTTCGCCGCTGCATGACCGCATCGTAGTCCCTCTTTTCCATCGCAGCCCCAGTGTGTCCGCTTATAGATCCACGAGCACCGGCATGGCGCTTTGGCCAAGTTTTATCGTTCTGACAAGAGACGAAGTAAGGGATTACGACGCGATTTTCAGAAAGGTGCTGGCAAGGGTTGCACAGATGACCACACGGAAGATACTCAGTGAGCTCAGTGGATCAGATCAGTCGCAATCTGGTTCTGATGTTGTGCTAACAACAGAAGAAGATGCTTCGCCAAACGACCCTCAAGTCAAGGATGGCTCTGTGGAAGGTGAAGACATGGTCGAGGTGACAATGACGGACGCCAAGGAAACTCCTCCCGCTCAGGGCGATGATGCCAATCAGATCCCAGAAGTGCTACGTCCGGGTAGCTTCATCCACCCCGAATTCAGGTACGTTAAGCTATTCAAGGGATCAGGTATCTGGTGACTAACATACGATAGGCAATTGTTTGAAATGAAGCACACTAGGAAGAGTAATGAGATTGTAACTACTGGATGGAGTACATTGGATCACAATCGCGCATGTGAGCCCATTTCAAAGCGCATCCGGGTACCACCATCACGAGAAGAGTCCGTCCAGTCATCTGTTGGTGGAAGCGAGCCTACGTCAAGTGATGAAGATGAAGACGCTTCGCAGTCGACGATTGTTGATGCCGATCCCACGGTTGACACGACCAATCCGAGCAGCGACGAGGAAATGCAATCGGTAGAGCCAGAAACGACCGAGTTTGCACGATCCGGTCGCCAAAATAAGAAGAAGAGCAAGAAGGCACGAAAGCATGAGCGGAAAATCGAGCGAAAAAATAAGAATAATAAGAATTTCAAGAACCGCAAAGGAGGCAGAGTGCCCGAACAGCCCAACTATCCGGACGACCCGGAAGATGAGGCTGATGACCGTTTGATCCGCATGGGTGAGGGCATTGTCCTTGACTGGACTTCCGAGGCCATTGATGCTTTGTTTGGCGGTACTTCAGATGACGACCCTCGAGGCGCCGATGTCATCAAGTCGATTGAGGTTTTCGACGATCCTGAGATTCGAGACAAGAAAGCCAAACGTGCAGCTCGCAGAAAGAACGGCATTAATCTGGACGAATGCTTCACAGAATCGTCAAAGAGCGAAGTGCTCTCCGAGGACAATGCATGGTATTGCAGCCGATGCAAAGAATTGCGTCGTGCAACAAAGACGTTGGAAATTTGGACCGTTCCCGACATTCTCATCATACACCTCAAGCGTTTCAGTGGTCACCGAACATTCCGAGACAAGATTGAGGATTTAGTTGATTTTCCAGTCGAAGGATTGGACCTTTCTGGCAAAGTCGGTTACCCAGAAGGCAAGGATCTTACTTACGATCTTTTCGCCGTTGACAATCATTACGGTGGGCTTGGAGGGGGCCACTACACAGCCACTGCTCAGAATTTCTTCGACAAGCAGTGGTATGACTACAATGGTAAGCAATTTTGACGTTTCCCCAAGTCACGCAATATTTGAAAGGTGTTTAAATATGATCATGAAGGAAGCTAATTTTATCAGACTCCATTGTCTCCCGCTGTGACTCTGGTCAAAAGGCCGTTTCGAGAGCCGCATACTTACTTTTCTACCGCCGTCGCTCGCCTGTCCCTTTAGGCCCTCCAGAGCTTCAGAAGGTGGTAACCGCCGACGTCAGCAATCCCGACTCTGATGACGAAAACAATACGGACGCGGACGATCAGCAGGCCCGCTCCCGCTCACCGGCGGGAAACGGCTTGCGCCTCGGCGATTCGTCCCGCAATGGGTCGTCGAGCGCTGGCGCAGTCGGAGCGGGAGCCGTAGCCCTGCGCGGGGATGGCTTTCAGCGTTCAGCAGCAGGGAGCCGTCAAAAGAACGGAGTCGCAGCCGCGAACCTGAGTGACGATGACGACCTTCCCCCATATGCTGATGAAGACGAAGGATTTGTGGAGGACTCGTACAGCAACAATCCTTGGGCCACTGACAACGACCAGCCAATGTGGAGTTTCAACGCGCTAAGCGACAACGCCGCTCGCAACGATAATGACTCAGATACTGGAGGTGTAGTGTCTGACACGGGTGCAGCGTCAACGGGTGATGGCATGGAATTGAGTGATAGACTTTTGGAAGATTTTGGTGATGATGAGCCCGTCAAGGGAGGGTGGGGTGGTGTTGCCACGCCTGTCACGCAACAGGATGACGAGGTTGCCGAGATTCGGCTAATTGGTGACTGATTGTCGAAGAGGATGCATTCACTGGACTTTTAAAAAAAACTAGACGAAACATGATTGAGGCCAAGAAGACTATGGTGTTGATATTAGGGGGTTATGGTGGAACTGACGCAAAGTGGCGTTCTTTTGCATAGCATCTGTAGGCGCGGGTTAGGCGTATCAATTGAGCATGCATTGTTCCCCAGCACTTGTTGTCATAGTATCTTCAAAGTGATGGGAAATTCGATGTATGTTGTTGCTGCAGTACTCAATTATTCAGAAACTCAGGTCCTAGTCACTGTTTTCTTTCGGTCTCGATGAAATTATGATATTAATAGATATGACTCCGATATTGAGCACCCAACCCAAACACAACCTTGATGCCAGAATCACATCAGAAGAGAGAGAGAAGAAACATACCCTACAACCCACTCAGCCCCAACGCCAACGACGTCAACAGCCCATTCAACAAAGCAATAACCCCGACAAGCACAACATTCAGCACCAACTGCACCGCCAAAATCAGTGCACTCAGCGCCCCCGTCAACGGATTCAAATAAACCAGCAACCCTGCAAGCCCCAAAATCGCAACAGCCGCCGCAATCGTAGCAAAGATTTCAACAATAATAAGGGAGAGCAGCGCCGCTATAGCTATAGCTTGCCGTTTTACCACTGCTACTCTTCCATCCTCCTCCTGCTTTGTAGCATCATCATCATCGTTGCGAGTTGCAATTATACTCGTGTCGTCATCGTCGTCGTCGTCGTCGTCGTCGTCGTCGTCGTCGATTGTAGGTTGCGTAGCATTTTCCGGAGCAAGAGTACGTATTTCGGAAGCGGTATCCTGGATCGCTTGCGTGATTTTTATAATTTGAGCTCCGATTTGCGGGATTGCGGCTGTTTTTTCTAGCAAAGGGGAGGACGGGGTGAGGGGGGCGAGGGTGGCATCTATAAGTGGTGGGGTTTTGGGGTCAGTTTTCTGTTTTTTCTTTTTTTGGTTTTTGAGGAAGGGGAAAGGGGAAAGGGGGAAAGGTACTTATTGCGCCGGTGTAGGTTTGGACGGTTGCGAAGAGGCTGGTTAGGAGGGATTCGATGGAGGATTCTGGGGTTTGGCGGGGTTGGAGGGGTGATGCGAGGGAGAGGGTGGTGAGGGTGAAGTAAGTGAGGTTGGAGAGGCGCATTTTTGATAGATAGGAGGGGAGTTAGTAATGGTGGGTTCTTGGTTGGAAGGGAAGAAGCATGACTCTATTCAGATGGAGGTGCTGGAATGACAAGTTTATACTCAGTGTTGAATCATCAAGTGTTGTATAAAGTACACTTTTACTACCAATGGAGAAAAACCCCGTTCCTTGTTTCTAAACAACCAGCTTCTGCTCTTGTCGTTCCATGGCATGACAGCATACTCGTCATTCATTTCTTTCGACTTAGAGCCTCGTTCGCGTAGAGCCGCGATTCCCGTTTTCGATTCAATGCACTGAATAACCGAGCCGTGTCTAGCGAGAAAACTACAAATATTGATAGCGTAGAACCCTTGCTATAACATCGCTAGACAGATGCTCCGCGGACAAGGAAATACTATGTGCGAACATCTCTTTGCCTGGACCAGTCCAAAACAAAAATTATCAAACATACCCGCCTTCCAATATCCGCTCTTACCATCCAGTCCCACAACTATCTCGATGGAAAATCCTCAAAAAGGCCAAGCGTACATGCATGACGTATTCGGCAAGCTTGCGACCGGTCTCCCGTGTCCCGCGACCCGCTATCCGTCATGCTTCTGCCGCATCTACCTAGCGCCCGTATACACTCGTATGAACGTGGACCTTTGGCTATAACCGCTTTTGTAGTATAGGCTACGACAGGGGCGGTGGTACGTCATAAGGAGAACGAAAGCCTTTCTAGCAATAGGAGATGGCGGTCGATCTACTTTGGTGTTTATCGATGTATGGATGATTGCGATTGTTGCAAGTTCCTAAAATGTATCGATTGTATGATATTGGCTTTTACAATGTCGTCGTCTGACTCGCTAGCTGTCATGTGTTGCTAGCTGTTCTTCCCGCAGCACAGAAGCGTCTTGTGCAATCTTCATCGATGCAATCTGCACAATGTGCGTGCTCGACTTCGTGCCTCTTGGCTTCTTTCTTTGTCAACATCTTCCCATCATTACATGTCGCACATATGACACTCAGAACAGCTTCGAGCGCTTTTTTTGCATCGCCTGGTTGTGGTTTCGCGCAGGGGTTAGGCCACCGCAGCTGTGTTGTAGATGGGATGAAGAAGTCTTCGCTCGACTCTGGCGGGGAAGCCGGAGCAGCCGGGTCAGGTGAGAGCTGGGAATCAGCCAATGTTGAATTGTCACCCGTGGGATTGAACTGAAACGGTGCGTGTGTTGAAGGGGTGGAATCGATCGTACTACTCGAAGCAAGTGATCTTCTATCAACAGCGACGACAGAACTACCGCGCGTTGTCGGCTCCGGTGCGGTCGGCACTGGTATTGTATCTGGTGAATAAGGCACCGTGCTCAGCAATGCGCCGATAGGGTGTGTGTTAAATTTGACTCCCGGAATACCCAAGGTTGCACGCATCAGGACGATCTGCATAGATTCATCTTTCTCTTTAGGATCCAACAATCGGGTGTTGGAGTGTCGAACCGCCGCTTCGAGAAAGTACCGACTGGCTACAGAGAAGTATGCTTTGCGCAAAATTGGCTGAATATGTTCGGGTACCATGGTGTGCATGTAAAGCGTAAGATCGCCTGTCGGTCGTGTACATGACATAACTTGCTCGTATGTCTGTGTTGTCGAGATGGGGAAAAGGCCGCTAGGGCCTTGATATGGGGTGCCATCAGGAGTCCGAACATGTGTCCCGGGAATCTTTGCAACCAGAGCGGACATTACTTCGGATAGTAGTGGCTCGTCGAAAGTTTCAGCCGCGAGAACATACGGCTGCACGCCGTCAGGGTCTTCGGCTTCTGGATCTGCGCCTCCGTCAAGAAGAATCTGAAGACATGCAACGAGATCGACAGCAGGGCATTCTGTAATACACTTGCGTAATGGACTTATTGGGCTGCCTTCTGTACGATTTGGGCTTATGCCTTTTCCGAGCAACACTTGAATATCACGCAGTGTGTCGGTGCCGTGTCGCTTTGCATCCGGGCAGCTACCGAGGACTTCATGGAGAAGCAGCGAACCATTCTCATTTGGCGTTTGAGCAAAGTTATCGATGAGCAATCTTGCAATTATTGGCGTCGAATGCCAAAGCGCCTGATGCACAAAACTCTCATTGGCAGGCGACCGGCAAGGAACTCCCTGAAAGGACAACTGGAGATTGACACCTTTGCTTATAAACATTGCAAAGCACTCGAGCTCTTCTTCAGAAACTCCAAAAGCCCAATAAGGATGGCTTTTCCACGGTTGTAGGAACGCGTCAAACGTTGATTGAATCATAGGATCTTGAGAAGTCCTGTGGACATTTGCTCCTGCAGCGAGCAGCTGTTTCAGAATTTTGTGACAGTTTTCGCGATACAATGGATCGGTGTAATTGTTTATCCTGCGCACCAGACACAGCTGTAGCGGAGAATTTACGCATGTCTGAACAAGCGGAGGATCCAGATCCTCGACGTTTGCGCCTCGGCCCAAAAGGACGCGGACGACTTCTGGGTACATCCAGAATACAGCTTGTCGAAGTGGTGTCCATTTGGAGTCGGGAAGACCATTAACATCTGAGCGGCCTGGCAGGAGTAACACTTGAACAGTATATACACGTCCGTTTTTGATAGCGTTATGCAAGGCCAAATCTGAGCCCAGTGGATGTCTGGAGCCTTTTGCACCATACGCAAGCAGGACCCAAACGACGGGCCCGCATGGCATGCCGCACGCGACATCTAACATGGTCTGTCCAGGGTGCTGCAGAATGACCATGCGATTGAGTGCGGGGTGTCCAAAGAGGCGATTCGTGGGATCACACAAGAGTGAGCCGATGGGATCATTGATGTGGTCTTCATTCTTGCGGATGAGCCTTTCCAGCCTCTCAGGGTCGTTGTCGAGGATTGCTTCAACCATGTCCGATATGACGGCTGATGGCTGAGGGGAATCTACAGGCCATGTTTGGGCGGATACTTGAAAGCTGTGACATGCTGGATAAGTACACACTCGATCATCAGGAAGCACTCTGGCCGGATCTTACTCTTGAGGCTCCTTGAACCTTGGCTCCATATTATCAACCACTTCGTCAGCAGCCAGACTCGGCAGATTAGCATCAATCTGCCAACCCCTATTCTCCAAGGGATTCTCTGGTGATGATTCATTCGTAGTCGCAGTCTCATCTGTTCCACTTGGTTGCTCCTCCCATCCGTCATTGTCGACCGCTGGACTACTCTTGCTCCTCTGCCGCGCCCCACGTCTGCGCTGGACGGTACTGCGCGGCTTGTGTCTCATGAGCCCCCACTCTTTCAACTTCATACGATAAGCTCTTGTTCTTTTCTCCAAGTCTCAGTAAATAGTACATCTAGTATCAACACTCCTTTATATGATATCCACTTACGAAGCGCGAAACCTGTATTTCCGTTCCATCATCTCCTTCACTTCCTCCAGTGTTTTCTTCTGTGAGAAAGAAAGCTCCTTGATTTCATCTTGGACGAGATCCCAGTCTTTTGTCATCTTGAAAGTCCAATTAGTGAGCAGCGGGTGCAAAAGCAACGCACAACGGAATTGTTGCACTTGAATGACATAAGACGATGATAAGTAAAGCGCATATATGTACTAGGCAATCTCCAGGGAACAACCTAGGTAGCATGCCGAAAACAGAGGTACAGAGGATGGCTGAAGCGCAAAAGGATATAATAATGAGAAAGATGCTGGCTGTGCAAATTTGGTGTTAACTACATACTTGCACATACTACGTAGTAGCGGAGTGCAAAAGTGAGCAGGGGCTGATGGCGACATTCTTGAAAGTGCAATTCTGGAACTAGCATTCATTTCGCCTAGCGCGTCTCACTCGAAAATTGCACAGTCTCGCTCAGCCTCAGCCTAGACTGAACTAGCAGCACCAAGACTATTGGATACCCTTCGAGACTTGGATGCATCATGCAAAGCCAAAAAAAGAAAGCCACGTGGGAAAATCCAAAGTTTGTTATTCGAAATAATCATATACGTATACAACCAAGGCAAAGGTATCTCATCTATCATAACGCTAGAAAACAAATTCAATCATACAAAGGTCATGAATGGTTTTATCGACCACCAATCTGGTTCTTCGGAATGGGCCTGACCCACAGGAAGATGCAGTTGAGTGCGATGATCATTATTCCGCTGATCCAGAAGACTTGTGCGTAATCGGTCTTGTGGTAGCGGAAGATGATGGCGAAGATTATGCCACCAAAGTTGCCAGTCGCACCAACGATACCAGAAAGAACACCTTGAATACTGTTAGCATCTGACATGTGATTTCCAGTTTAAAGGAACAAGACTGACCATTAGCATGAGGGTGAACATGCGGTACCAAAGCAAAGTTAGCACCGTTGCCAGCTTCGAGGAAGATGGCCATGACAGCAATGAGACCAATCATCTCATCCAAGTTCTTGGGGTCCACCTTTCCGATGACAATACACAAGATACCAGACATGATGCCAACAAAGTGAATCCAGAACTTCTTGGCCCAAAGGCTATGCCCGGTGACTTTGTAAATGTAGTCAGCAATTACGCCACCGAGAGGACGGGTGACGACGTTCAATAGACCGAACATGGCAGCCCATCGACCGGATTGCGTCTGGCCGAGGTATGGGAAGTTCTTGAGGTAGTAAGCACCGAGAATGGAGTTGATGGCTAACTCGCCACCAAAGGAACAGAAGTAGCCAGCACAAAGCGAGGCGGTTTGAAGGGAGAACATGACTTTCATAGCTTCCTTGAATGTGGGCTTGACGATGACTTCGTGTTGGACTTCGTCGATGACTTGGACGTCTCCATGTGCGGCCTCGATATCTGCGGAAGGTTGTCGTTGTTTTTTCTCGTCGTTGGAAGCTATGGAGCTAGCAGCTGTGGGTTTTTCGTCAATCGCACCCGTTGTAGGGACGACAGATGACTGTGCTTGGTCACTGGACACGACCTTTACGCCGCGTTCAGACCATTTTCCGTTGGGAGTATCGTCAGTCAAGAGCAGGAGGCTCAGAGCACAAGCGGTAATCATGATGAACGGAACGATGAAAGAGACGCGCCAGGCGACGTGCGAGGACAAGCCTTGGTCTTTCTTGAGGGAATCGTAGATAGCTGGCATGACAAAGCTATTCAAGTTAGTTGAGACCATGATACACATAGCAAAATGGACCTACTATGTGATGCCACCGCCAGAGTTACCCCAACCACCAACCAATGCGTTGGCAGTTCCGACGACATTCTTGTCAAAGAAACCAGTACTCCACACCTGACAAGGCACAAAAGTACCACCAAGGATACCGACAAAGAAGCGAATAAAGTAGAGACCTGTAGCATTGGTGGCAGTACCGGCAAGGGCAGTGGGGATGGCGCCAGCAAACAGCAGCACCGCAAAGGTCTTGCGAGGGCCAATGTGATCGCACATGGGCCCAGCAATGAAGCGGACCAGCAATGTGGCACAGAGCGCCACAATATTGGAGTTCGCAATCTGGTCCTGGGTGAGGTGCATGTCCGCTTTGATACTCTTACTCAGCTATGGAAATGTTAGTCGAGACCATACTCGTGGATTATGGGCACAGGGTAGCCATACCAGAGGCGGAAACGCGTACCTGATCATCGTCAGTATCATGTGGGGCAAAAGCGGTCCACTTGTGGGGAAGTACTCACCATGACCAGAACGCGATGAAGAAGCCCAGGTAAGAGAAAAAGAAGACCCGCCCATACTTGTTGATTGGGTTGAGTACAGGGATCGACCTGGCCTTCTGATTGTAGGGGTTGACCTCTGGTGCTGACCAGAGGAGGTTGATAGCGAAAGGCATGGTGAGAATCTGAATGGATGTTGACGCTCGCCGATGATGATGACCACAATTGGCAGTCGAGAAGTTATATAGATTGTCGACCAAAAAGCCCAATTGTGATACTTCCGCGGTGAACAGAGGTGACGCACTTACCCCAACCACCATAAGCTTGTGGCGCAAAGACGTTCCCCCAGGCCAAGGAAGATCAGACTTCTCCGATACCTGGTTACGGTAATCCTGGTGGGTCGTCGTTATCTGCGTTGTCGATAAACAGCAAGTGTAAACCCAGATGTCCCGATCAATCTACGCTAAACCACTTAGCGAGAGTGTTCAAAATGTCTCCGATCAGCGCTCCGGCTCTAACACAGGATCCACACGGCCTTTGAGCGAATTATATTTCATCGTAGTCTGGCTAAAGTGTGTGAAGAAAGGCTGAATGGTAAGGGACGAGTCGAGTCTCGCTGCGGCTGAGTACTGACGCGGGATGGTGGGGGGACGGCAAAGGCGTTCTCCTTATCTCTTGGCGCTAACCAGGCGAGAGACTAGACAAGGAGCCCAACATGGGTCCTTATCAGAACATGTAGAGATAATATGAATTGCTGCTTTTCCGCGGTGAACAGCTTTCGACAGAGGGCTTCTGTTGTGAAAATAACTCCCCAACTCTTTTTGGCGCCTGCTATTCCTTCGGATCCCGGAATCTCTGTTTCGTGGCGTGAGCAAGAACTCTAGTCTCGCCCAGACCACAAAGCAACTTTGGATGTCGACCAAAGCCACGGTTCCAGATCGCAAACTTGCTTTTGTAGTATGAAATTGGTGCAATATGAGGTGTGGGAGGTCCAGACGTCAAGGTTGTGTATTGTGCGGAAATGGAAACCTGTCATGATAAACGTCACAGATCGGTGTACCCAGGAGCACCACCGAGCAGATGTCCGCTCACTTTTGCACAATTATTGCAATCTTGTGCTCAGATTGGGCACGGATTTGGCTTTGATGATCTGTTCCTCGATCGAAGCCTGTCGCTTACAACACGGGCGCGGGCCAATCGGCAGTGGCATGTGTGCCTTATCTCGCATGACTGCAACTTCGCTGCGCTACGACACCGCAGCCATGATGGGCAAATCATAGTCCTGTAATGACCTGGGGAGACGGATTATTGTCAATTCGCCCAGGAGTTTGGAAAACGTCATCGTAGTTCCTGTGTTGTTGACCTTCATCACGCCAAGTTTCGAGCAGCCTTGGGAGAGAATCTTGGAGCGTCGGGAAGTACTGCTCGTTTTCTGACGCACGACTGAGAAATGTGTAATTCGGTGGTTTCTGTTGGCTGACATGTGAAGGAGGTGGGTATATAGCGATATCGGAGCAATAATTATTGGAGTAGCAGACGAAAAGGTAAAAGGTGTGGTGAGCAGAGAGCAGTTGGAATCAAGCATCTCCGGCGATAAAGGAGTTCGTGCGGGTGTGGGTCTTTTCGAGATTGTGAATTTGATTTTGCTGAGCAACCGCGGAGATGCTGAGTTGTTTCAGGCTCACTGAGTTTTTGCTAAGTGCAGCTTGTCATGGCTGTGACTTGATAAGATGCTTGCAAATACCTTTACAAAAGAGACGAGATCGGGTCTGTTCAAGGAAAAATCCTGCTTACCCGCTTCACTGAAGACCCGCACAGTGGAAGCCTTTCCAATGTTCTCTTGCCTTGAGCACACCTAAGCCATATGCTGTCGCGCCACACACAACCAGCACATGCATAATCTGGTGGCTACTACCGACAAGATCGTAACGTTTTGGATACCATTTTTCAGGCACCCTGCTTGCATACGTGACTGCACCTGTGCCGTGACAAAGCCCGAGTGCGAGATAGTATGAGAGACTCATTCTCTGCTCCATTTGCTGCCACCCAAAGAGGTGCAAACCATGAATAATGGGCAGGAATGAAGAAAGCCCAAGGAGAAGATAGGTTACTGTCCGGAAACCCTTGGAAGCCGTGCCGGTAAAGGAAGGATGAAGTGTAGTGACTGCACATGCGAGCCCTGCGCCCGTGGCAAAGACACTGTAAGTCTTGCACAGGTCAGGTTCGCAGCGAAAGCCAAAATGGGTGCTGGCGATGGTGGTACCCCAGAGAGGAACCACGATGCCGAGGTAGTCAAAGCGACTTGTCCATGTGCGGGCGCTTTGACTGTGGTCTAGAAATATGTGGTAGCTGCGCTTAAGTGTCAGTTCTCTGTTCTCTTGTCTAACGAGGATCACTTCTACACCAATAGCGTGCGATGTATCGGTATAGCCACTGTTTTTGGTAGGATCAGTGAAAAGGAAAAAGAAACAAGTACCACTCACACAAAGGAAAAAAAGAAGCATGCTATGACCGAGATGAAGTAGATCAGCACTGCCAACTCATCTTTTGCATGCCTGTCCAATTCCCTCATGTATAGGTCCAAAGCACCCATGGCATACAGGAAGCCTGCAGTACCTAAGATATGCGACCAAATGTTGACGGTCTCATTGTGAATTTGGAACACACTCCTGAGCGAGCGCTGATAGGAAAAGGTTGCTCGTCTGTTAACAGTTGATCAGCTTTATTCATACAGATGAGGGAAGAAGAAGAAGAAGAAGAAGAAGAAGAAGAAGAAGAAGAAGAAGAAGAAGAAGAAGAAGAAGAAGAAGAAGAAGAAGAAGAAGGTTCTTACCGGTGCTTTGTCAGTATAAACTCATTGTCTTGTT